CACCCTCAGTTTTAGCCCAGAAGAGTAGAAGTTACTTAATATATTCATGTTTATGTGCTGTCCAGAAAAAGCACTTAAAAATTACTGGTGAAATAATATTACCATTTACTTTTTTTGTGCAGTAATATTGACATATAATATAATTCATATTGTTTATTTAGTACTACAGCCTTAACACTGTAAATAATTGTCAGAAGTCCAAATGTCTGGTACTGAAAGAACCACAGCGTCAGATATTTGTTGTCTCCTGGAGCTGGTGCTGACTGAGTCTGAGAGCTGGCAGGTCCTGAAAGGGTCAAACAGGAAGCAGTTCTCAGCAGTTTGTCTTTCAGGACACGGAGTACCTTCGCGCTCGCTTCAACATTGAGAACTTCATCTACTTCAGCCATCATCGGTACGACGAGCACGCCCACATTCTCCACTTCATCCTGAAATGCTGCTTCCAGAACCTCAGCAGACACCTGTTCAAGGAGGTCCTGAGGCTGTCCCACAAGTCCTGCCTGTACCACAGAGTCTACCTGCCCCACTACCAACAGGTGAGTCCAGAGGGACCTCACTGACTCACTTCTTGTCAGAGTGTAACGACAAATTATGTTTCCTGTGAAAACCACAGCCAGATTTCACTTGGACATGTCTCTGTCCGTCACAGACACCTGGACATGTCTCTGTCCATCACAGACACCTGGACATGTCTCTGTCCATCACAGACACCTGGACATGTCTCTGTCCGTCAGGGACATGGAGGTCTCACCTTGCTCCTCCTCTGATCCTGCAGCAGCAGAGAGGAGAACCTGTGTGAACAGAATAAGCAGGAGGATATTGTCCTCCTGCAGGAGGTCCTTCAGGGGCTCATTATCACCGTCTGACCTTTGGAGTCTCCTCCAACGTTGACTGTCTTTTTCTTCTGTCCTCAGACCTCCTGCGTCCACCCTCTGGATCCGATCCTGGACTGTGGGGTCCCCGTTGGGCCCCGGCAGCAGATCATCTACCCGCTGGAGGAGCTTGGCATCAACGCCCCATCCCGACGGCTTACAGAGGACCAGGTGGGTCCAGCAGCAGCTGACAGAGAGAAAACACCAGCAGGGGGCGCTGTTTCAGAACCAGACCATGGAGGTACTGTGTAAATAACAGCTGGAGTGCTCAGAAACCACTTGAATGTGATCAGCTGTAACGGCTAACGCAAAACAGTCGAGTCTGGATTTACCATTACTGTACATGTTGACAACAGAGCAGTAAAAAGGACTGACGATGTAGAAATTATTAAAACTGTTTATAATGACATTAACAAAATTATTATTAATATTTTACAGTTTATACAGCTGGTAAAATAAGTATTGAATACGTCAACATTTTTCTCAGTAAATATATTACTAGAGGTGCTAATGACATGAAATTTTCACCAGATGTTGGTAACAACCCAAGTGATCCATACATACAAAGAAATCAATCCATAAATGTCCAGAAATGAAGTTATTTGTAATAATGTGGAATGGCACAGGGAAAAAGGCATGGAAAGCCAAGACACCAGCTGAACTCTCTCAGTAATTAGAAAGC